TCTGCGATAGTTTTATGATTGTAAATTGTCACTCAGATTTAAGTTTCTCACAATATAGCTGATATCAACAGGTTAAGGGACAGGACAAATTAGAGAGGACCATGTCAGCTAAGCAATGTAAACAGAAGGGGACGGGCATGTCACCATTCATGTTTTGGTGCCAATAAAGGTGATCCAAATACTTCATCCCCAACATATCTGCTTGACTGCTGAGCACGTGTTCTGTATTTCTCAGGGCAGGGGATGGGAAGAAAGATGGGGAAACCCACCCCTAAACAAAAAAAGCAATCATGTAAACATTATCAGACTTCACTACCTAATGGAAACGAGATTCAAGTAATTGCTGCAGAAAACAAACAGCCAAACACCAGTATTGATTTGCATTAAAACTAACTACAGCTTGCAGCTTCATTACATTTCATGACAGTTATGTAATTAAAAAAAAACCCATATAAAAAGCTGTCTATATATACAAAATAAATTGATAGAAATGAGTGTAATAAATATGTTCAGTATTGTAACAAATCACTTTATATGCAGCTGCTCTCTTTGGTGCCATTTAGGGATAGCAGAGCCTCTGATGTTCCATACCTAGCAATGTGAAGGATGTGTTCTCGATCTGTACCGAGTTAAAGTAGCCGTCACTTGGAGCCTCTGTAAATGCATACCTGAATCCCCCAATTATGTACAATTTTAGACATTGTCCTCAGAGAACATACATTATGAAGCTCAAAGCTGTGGTTTGTTTTTTTTTTAAATTTTATTTTTAATAAATATGATCAGTCAGTGCTCCAGATCTAGGCAGATCTGGTTAGTCTATGTCAGAGTCAATGCATCTCCTGGTAAATCTGCCAGACACTAATGCTTCTGCAAACGCTGTTTTTTTTCCTCCTCTTGGGGCTCTGGCGAGCTACGCAGATCAAAAAGTTCTTATTGAATACATACAAGTGTATATTGAACGGTATTGAACTTAACCAAAACCTTAAAGCCCCAAAAGATTATTTACAATACAGAAGAGCCACACAAGACCAAACGAGGGAAGAATCAGTACCTGAAGTTCATAGACATTTAGGACTCTGGAGAACAGGACCAGTTTCTAAGAACAGCATACCAAAAGTAGCTTGGTACCTGTGAATTCCACACTGAAGGAGCAGCTTTAACAAAAATGTTGCCATAATTTCTACTCAAATAACTAAAAGTGCACAAACTCCCTCTAAAATAACTATCTGAATATTTAAAGTGGAAGTTCTCAAAGGCTTATAATGCACCTAGCTTGTGACACTTCAGGATAATACTGTAGGAAGTGAGTTATGGCAGAAACCTACACCTCTTCCTGCCCTCTTCCCATAATATGCCTTTGGTAGGAGCAGTAATTGTGCAGATGTTGTACAGTCTGTGAATAAATTGTAAGAAAAAAAACAGCATTAGCTGTGTAGTTTTAATTATTTTCTATTTATGGATCTCCCTGCCTCATCTTCACAGGGATAGGCTTATTATCCTAAGACATTTCAGAAATCTTGAGGAGAAACCGCACTTAAATCTTGCCCTGCGTCAGGCTTTCCTCTTCACACTGGGAGTTAAATGTCATTTTGGGTGTATGACTCTTGTGTGTATGTGCATTTTTTTAATAGAAAAAAAAGCAGTAAGAAATACTAAAACGTAGTTTCTAATTGCAGCCAATGTCAACTATCCTACAGTAACTACAATACTATTTATGGCTTGCAATAGAAATTATTTTGATGGTTCTAAAAGCTCAAGGGCTGTGATTTTTAGTGACCATCTACGTAGTGGCAAGACTTGCTGATACAGAGCAAGCTAAAGCACAAAACCAGCACCTGCAACATGACCCAGCATCCTAAACAGTTGTTTTCTCAGGATCAATCCCCCTTCTGACCCCCTGACCAGGGAACATTCTCGCTGCATTCACTGAAGTTTCAGCTCTTCAGTGCAGGGGCCAAAAGGATGTGTTTCCTGGAGCACCCTGCACGCTTGCCTCTGCTGGCAGTGACACCTGTCTCCTTGCAGCTCAACAGCCAAACAGCTGTTCTGCTCACCCACACTGTAACTCCTGGCCTGCTCTCTTGTTTTTCCTGTCCCACTCTTTGATACAGCACAGGGTGCCTTTGCTTATGGCTAGGGAGCAATCAGGACAGAACTCTGCAAGACAGAAGACACTGTCCTGCTGCCTGAGACGTGGTACCTCCTCTGCAGCCAGGGCCTGCCAGGAAAACCTGCCTCCCCAAGTCCCACTCAGTGGTGGGCCCTTGGAGTTCATCAATACAATTGCCGTGGAGAACTTCATTCCTGCAGTCCTTCAGGGTTTCTCTTAGTAGCTAGTTTGCCGGGAAGAAGAAAGGGTGTGGGTGTGAATTTGGAAGAATCATATTTGAATCATTTTACTATATTCCATATTTGTCAAAATGACTTATCAGTAATGCCTGCTTTTACACCAACAGTAACTGGCCTCAAGGGTATCCTAAGCACACTGCTCTCCTTTTCTCATCTGAAACATGAGAAAAATTTGGGATTTGCACAATGATGTCAGAAATATCATCTTTTCATGAAAAGCCACAAAAATGTCCATCCGACATAGAAACAACTGGTTTCAGAGAACCAGCACTTGCTAGAAAATACACATGGATTTAGCCCAGTCTGTTTACTTGCAGTTTTTCCTGTAGATTAATTAAAAAAAAAAAATCAAACAAGTTATACTAATGTTAGCCTACAGTATATATACATTCATATGGGGGTATATAGAGCACTTTGGGGGGTGGGGGGAGCAGAGACCATATTGCTGAATCGGTGATATTTACCGTATTAGAGACACAGATTTTGCTTATAGTTCTGCTGGACAATGACTGTGCGTGTATGCGTTATCTCTGCTGCAATACACTGATGCAGTGAAAGCCAGCTGGTAACACAGGCCCTCCATTACAGCTGCACCAGTGTTTGGGGCTGCAAATTTTGGTATTCAGGACAAGACATTTGAACTTGCAGTCTTCTGTCTCTATTCTCTTCCAAGAAATTTTGCAGTACTGCTGATGGCTTATACTCAGATAAGCCCTTCTCATTTGATACCTGAGAAAAAAAACCTAAACCTTTCAGATTGATGTGTAGCAAATGTTTTTGTAAGTTTTGAAATTAGCAAACTCAAAATTTCTTGTACAAGGTTTGAAGAAACATTCTGCAACTTTTATAAAACATGCAAGTTTGGACCATTACTTGTGTCTCAAGAACATCCAACAGTGACAAAATCATGTTCATAGGTAGTCAAAGTGTTCTTGTTCTAGAAGATTAAGAAAAATTTATTCTTTACAAGGACAAAAAATACTTGTTTTAAACCTTACAGTATACTTGATACCTTAGTATCGCCATCCCAAACATATTTGACTGAAGTTAACAATCAGTACGGGAGAGAAACCAAACAGGTTCTGTCGGTCCAGATCATCAACTTGGCTACTACCTTCAGTCTGCATCAAAGGGGCTCACATCTATTTGTAATCAGTATCAGGTGAACGTCCGAAAAGTTACAGAGAGAAAAATAGTATTTGTCACTTTTTCTGGGTGCAAAATTCCAATGCTACCCAAAGATGAATTAGCAGTCCTCTCCAGAGAGCAGTGAAGGGGGAAAAAAACCCATGTTGTTTGCTTGTAGGTCTTGAGCTTAGGACAGACTTTATTCCTCACACAGGAAACACATTTTGCCTTTTTTAACAGGTACATCACTGCACAAAGCACTCAATCTATACCAATTTCAGCATCACTGAAATGGGACTTGAAAGTGGTAGACTAAAGCATACAAATTTTCAGTGTGTTAACACAGATGTACGATCCAACACTAATTTTCTCGTAAGTACTTGATATTTGTTTAAGTGGTACTTTAGAACCAATAAAAACTTATGCCTTTATTAAAAAAGATAAAACAAATCTATAAAACAGTATTTATAAACCATCAAGAGTCCCATAGAAAAAGCAGTACTCTTCCACTTCCATTTTTTAACAACACACAACCGCAATAAGGTTTTTCTCAGGGGTACTTTATGGTTTTGTTACTGCCTCATACAGACCACTGCAGATCCTAACAGAAAATGTTACATAACAATTTTGTTAATTCCTTTTTGGATTGGCTTTTCTTTGTATGCTGATAGACAATTGTTGGAAAGTAATAATCCATGTTTTTTCAACTAAAACCCGAGTTTGCTTCTCTGAGCTCTGTTCTTGATATGGTTAAATAAATCAAGTTAAAATGATGCGGGGGCTCAATCCTATATCAAAAAAGCAATACCCATGTAAAAGGCTTTTACGTTGTTGGCATTGCCTTGCTCCAAAGCACAGACAGTAGAAGGAATCCTCCGTCCCGAAAGACTTGGAGAGCTATGGTCACGGGTACACTGGTTAACAGGAAGAGAGGAGAAGACATCAGCCAGTCCCTTCCCCATCACCTGGTGGTTGAACTATGTATAGTTGCACTTCAGACTCACCAGCCATGCTCTAGGTTGATTTTTCTTTTTTTTTTTTTTTTCCTTTTCCTTTTCTCTTTCTTTCTGTACCCTGGAGACGTGCTATGGAAGTGAATTCTGCAGTGCCCAAGGTATGAAGTTTGCCTGTGGGGAGGTCTCTGCAATCTATCCCCCCCACTGCAGCATAACAGAAATGCATAGTTCCCACTCTGGACCTTGTGCATCCAAGCAGGGCACTTCAGGATTTGGCCCTTTGGTAGCAGTATATAATTCAGTGTTGCATAAATGCACATTAAGAATCTTAAGGCATCTATCTGTCTTAACTTCCCTGCTCTTCAATAGTGCTTACAAGAATCCATTGTACTGTGCAGAAACTTGAATTTCTTGAGTCTTCCGAAAATGTTCATGTTCCATTTCTTATGGATCAACTCTTCCAAACAAAATTAAGTAATATTCAAGCACAAAATGTGTTGCAGAAACCTAGTGAAACAAAAAAGGTAATTAGTGGAATTATACCATTAGCTTTGAAAAAAACAGCAGTTAAGGTAACTTCAAGTCATAATTAGCCTTCTGGGAGGTGTGGGGTTTTTTGTTTTGTTTTAAACCTCTTATGTTTCAGAAGATTATCTCCACTAAGAACATCAATCCATCACCATTGACCTATGTCTAAAGTCTCTTGGATCCCTGATTGGCAAGAATTGCTCATTCATTTTGAATTAAATTGATAGATATGGGGACGCAAATGGTATTTACCTAGGTGAGGCTGGGAGACTGGCCTTCTTTTGCAAGTCATGCTCCTTTCTCTAGAATAATCAGTGAATTTTACTTGCGAGCCATAACTTTGATTGCTTCTGATGTGTGTTATAAGGATAAAACCGAAAAATAAAACAATCAGTCTGTTACAGGGTATACGAAGTGCATGGAACAGATACTGGATCACACATAGTTGCTCACAATTGCAGGGGGACTGGAATGAACCACCTTGGCCTACAGAAACTGTGATCAAATCCAACTGAACTCAGAACAGCTGAAACGTGCTGCTGAGTTAGTAATTATTTGGGATAACACATACCAAAATGCTTTTGCGTTGGCTGCAATTATGCACTACTTATTTATACAACTTTTAAAACTACAGCAGTTTGGGCAAGTGCAACACAAAGTACACAATCTTCTGTTGTTAAATTTGGCCTGACTTTAGGAAGAGAGGGAGGATAGAAAAGAAATCCATCCCAAACTATTACCACTTGACTAGCCTAAGCCTTATGTTCCCTCTCTAGGTTGGTGGAAAAAAAGATTAAGACTATAATACCCTATCAAAGGCTGCTGGGATGAACTGCTGTCAGACGATATCTATTCCTTTCTATGAAGAATAGAAAAGCCTTAGTAACCTGTTTATATCAGATTATTTTTTATATAGCTAGAGGCTGAAAAGAGTCCCTTGCTTGGGGCATTCATTTGCACATTTGTATGAAGCGTTAAGAAAAGCTGCAAAGGGAAAAATCATCATTGGTGGGTTCTCATGGTTCCGTAGGTTTTTCAGAAGTACCACTAACTAGTCTGATTTTGGTTTTATAAGAGTGTACACTGAGCAGTCTAACCAACATCAGTCCAAGCATCACACCATCCCCAACAAGGACCTTTTTGACAACTTTTTTTTTCTTAAAAACAAACTACGCCCCCCTCACTGATTCTAGGTCAGAAGGCTTATTAAAAAAAAAAAAAAAAGGTGATCCTAAAATTACTGACCTCACAAAACTCAAATATTGTGTTTTCTTTCCAAACAAAATGTCAATTCCTTGCAAGTTCTGTCTCCCCCACCTTTTTTTTTTAAAAAAAAAAAAAAAAAAAAAAAAGAGGAAAACAACAAAAAGGCAGAAAAACCAGCAGGAAACCAGCAGGAAAAAGTAAAAGGCAGAGGGGGTGAATGACAACCCGTAGCATCTATGGTGGTTAGTTGTCCAAACTCTGTCTCTTCCAGAGAGAAAAAAATTAATGTGAGTTTATAAGCTCACCACAGCATTAGGTCAATATAAGAGAAGTCTAATTTCGTCACTGGAAATACAGCAAGGGAGGTTTTCATAAATGCAGCAGCACTCACCGCATTTCCTAAATGGAAAGTACGCACAGAGCTCTTACATAAGAAAGATCATTGTCAATTCCGCCGACTGTGACGAAGCAGTCTGTATGCAGACACTGATATTTACCTATTGACCTTCCTTCCTCATGTGCACAGAGCTGCTTAAAATATAAGAGCAGAGCCCGGCTCACCCATATACAATTAAGAAAAAGACAGTTAAGGAGCCGTTCCTTAAGAACAGCGCTTCCTCAAGACAGCGCTTAATCTTGAAATTGCCTATTTAGCAGATTAGATTCTTTTCCCTGGTCAGGTAACAAATCCAGCACTACCCACTTCCGTCTAAATTACAGGATTAGTCCAACTCATCTCCGATCTAGCCAGATCCTGTTCCCTGCACTACAGCATTACTCCCATTCTTGTCTTCTGGACAGCCATTCTGAGTTTTATTTAGACTATTCTATTACTCACCCAACATCAGAGGACTCCTCCGCCTTCCATGACTAGTGGCTTTTGACTTCAAGATGTCTGTTTTAGTTTACTCATACATACACAGAAATGGCAATCAAGTATGTTGGTCTTACCTGTCTCTCATTGAGATGGTTGGTTAGTAATCAGCTGAGATCAGCTTTCCAATGAAACTATAATATGCCTTTTTGCACCTAAAATGTGAGAGAATCTCAATTATGTGTTTTTTGCAGATTTGCACAACAAATAGCAAAGACTTCAAACCAAAAAGGACATTTATTGTATTGTATCCATTTTAGAAAAATATTTTCCTCCCCCTAACCAAACGTAAAGAGATCCAAAATCTCAGAACAGAAGTGTGAAAGCAAGAATTATGTATCCAATACCTTAGTGTAATAAGTCAGCTTGGAGCAGAGCATGAGACACAAGTAAGCGTTAACTTATAAACATGCTAACTTGATTCTATGGAACAGATTTCCTTCTACTTGACTCCAACCAATTCCTAAGGACTTCTCAGGCCTAACAGGAAAGGGAAAGGGAAAACCCACCACAAACAAAACCATAGAATCATCAGAAGTGTTACGATGCAGGCTACCTGATTTAACGTTTTCCTCTTCAGGGCCACTTTCCACCGACTGACTGTCACTGGCTAGCAAACGATTTTGTGATTCACTGAGCGGTCGAGTAGGAAAGGACTGATTGGCTCCAGAACTGAAAAGTAAGTAAAGTCAACAGGAATTCTGGAATCGCAGTAGGTGATTTCAGACATTTCTAGAGCAGCAAAGGTACTTAAGAGGAAAGCAAACCAGAAAACCTACACTGCCAACTAAAAATGACCCCTGCCCCCAGCCCTAATTCTCCCATAGGCTTGTTCCAGTCATCAGTCTAAACCCTTACCTGACATAGGCCACACACAGTTCTAATGGAAAAAAAGCACAGACCGATGGGCAAGAATTGGCATACTGACAACGCTAGTGCCACACAGTTATAAAGAAAACCTAGCCAGTAGTGTCTGGCAGAACAACCTAATGCCATCTTATCCCACCAGTAAATGCTATGGCCTTCTGCTGAACATCTTCCTAATGCAAAAGGATATCCTACTGTTTGCACAAGGGTCCTGCTCCCGGGTAAATTCCACAGGTAATATTGCACTGGAAGCAACTTCTCAGTCTTGCCTTTGAACCCCCCTAATGCCTGATAACTCAGGTGACTGCTGTTGACAACAACCTTCAGCTACAAATTCACCAAACTACACAGAAGAGTTCTAAAATAGTAAATGTAAACACCCCTACAAGTTTCACATGCTCCTGTGTCTTTGAATCTAAAGCACACTGCCTGAAAATACAATGAAGATATAAAACATGCAAATTTGGAGGGATAAAAAGTAATGAGCTAAAAACTCTCCAGTGCTAAAAACCAGCAACAGCCACAGTGATCTACCTCTCTTGCAAACTGTGTCTCAGCATCTCTTGTTTAAGCATGCTGGAGGAGGTGAAATATAAGTAATACATATATCTTGCCTTTCATTCCAAAAAGTATCTTAAACTTTTTTTTTTTTTTCCATAGACCATTATTCAGTCTTCCCTAGCACTTTTTTGACTGTTGTTAAGAGCCAGTAAGCTCTCTCACTTTCTGTGTTACTGGTTCCTTAGAGCCATATCCTCTGTTACATGTCAAAACCGAGAAACAGCCCTTCTGCATCAAGTGGCACCATTTTTTAGATTTGATCCATCCTATCCTTCTCTGAAGACTTACAAACTCACTCTGAACATGACCATACGTATAAAAAATTAAAAAATAATTCTGAAACAGTTTTTTCTCCAGATGAAGTACAGAACAGTACAAAATCAGTATCTTAAATGCTATAGTTACCTTTTGGCAGGTTCATTTTGGCTTGAGACAGTAAGTTGCTCTGGATCCATAATCACCAAACGAGTTGGAAAAGTGCAGCCATCACCCAAACTAAACCAGAAACAAAGATTCAAATCACTTTTTGTAGTTGCCTTAAATGAACTGAACAAGTACCCATGCAAAAGGCAGACACTACAGGCTCAAATCAATAATTGCGTGCAGCGTTCAGCTCCAGACTTGAGCAAGGCAGTTCTACCACTAAGCCGGATGATCAGTTAGTTAAAGCTTGGAGCTCAGATGATTTCCACCCTATGACTCAGTATAGATTGCTGAGCACAGCACTGGTCTACGTATTTCAGAAACATCACTGTGTTTCTGTAGACTGTAGCCCTAGTCTTCCCCCAAACCACTGTGCACAGGTAGCCAGACTATCTGGAACTTACAACCCCAGCACCTATAGCATAAATAACATTCTGGTGGCCATGCTTTCCACTCCATCCATCACTATGAGGTTAGCTAAGCCTTCTTTTAAAGCAAGTTCAATCAGGATAAAATGTGGTGGCAAAACAGACAGAACCATCCACAATATAGCTTCTGTCTTTTTTTTAATCATATGAAAAGCCGTGGTAGTTGAGCAAACAGCTGAGGGAACTTAAGATCTTGTTATTACCTCTGCTGTTTGCTACCAGACCTCAGCTTCACAAATGGGTTCACCAATATTTTAAACTGATACACAGCCCCCCAAAAGCAGTGTTGAAACACGGTACCTACTTTGTTCTGCTTTCTGGATCGGTAGGAGTGGGCAACAGGTCAGTCTTGCTTCATAAAGCTTCTGTGACGCCTGTCTGCAACTTCCTAACACTGGCTTAGCTGAAGTTTTAAAACCAGTATTTTGCATTGTATCATAATTTTTTTGCACTGCTGCTTATTTACATGCACTTTCTCAGGCAGATTTCAATACTGAAACTGTCACCTACAGCAAAAGGAAAGCTGTCAAGTTTTTTCAGGGTGTTTTTAAACTGATGTTGTTTCAGTGCAGCTGAAGTTCAAGCATTTGGATCTCCTTTGAGCTGCTGACTTCTGCTCTATAATCAGACACTAATACTACCACCAAAAGGTACACAGTTTGGAAAGCCTTGAGAAGTGTATTTCAAAAACTTCCATATTTAGAAGGCCCTTGTCAATTAAGCCTTTGCCTTTGAATGGAAACTCTGTGCAGAGTTTGCTAAGTCGTCTTCTGCACATTTTCCCTACACCAATACTCATCATGCAGTATTTACAAGCTGGCTTTTCAGTTATGCTTTATTATTCAGGAGAATGGGAAGCAAGGTGCAAGTCACAGAATCAACTTATTCCCCAATTCATTCCTATTCAGGCTGAATACCTGGTAAAGATAGGGAGTAGCCAATACTTCTTTTCATCTCCAAAAACCTCCCTCAGATTTTTGCTGCATCCAAGAGAAAAGCCATTTTTATCAGGGCCATTTCGAAACGTGGGTGCACGGAATGTTTCTGTAAAATAAAAACATGCAGTATCTCTAAAAAGCAATAAGGAGTCAGGGAAGATGAATAAACATCTGTGAAAAAAATCTGTTAAAATAGTGTCAGGCAAGCTGAGAATCTTTATGTGTATTATGGAAAAAAAAAAGATTCACCTCAAGTAATCAGAGAGCAAAACAAAAAAAGATTAATGACAAAAATAGAAATGAAAGAAAGTTCATGTAAGCAGAACAGTCATCCTTCTCTCTTTACATTTAACATAAGGTCTGAGACAGAGCTAAGTACTATCAGCATGCCAAAGACACCACATCGCATATTCATGGTGGCTAGCTCTCTTTGGCCTGTGAAGCCTTCTTTGAGCAGAAGACTTCCTCTTCTAGAAGCAATTACCATAAGCACTATTAGACCTAAACCCATACAGGGTAGTTTTTTCCACTTCTGCCAAGGTCTGAACTTAAATTAAGAACATCCTGTGGTATCAAAGACAGATGAAACCTATTAAATTAGAAACACAGACACACCATGAACTACAGCAAACCACCATTTTTCTAGTCAGTCAAGTTACACCCTTGGCCAAGAACTAAGAGGCCTCACTGCTCTCCCCCTACCAACAACCTGTCTTTTTACAATCATGATCCAGAAAGTAAACAAAGTACTGACTTTGTTACCAATTATGACCACGGACTTTTGGGCAAGGAACATGCTAAAATTTTCTTCAAAGCTAAAAAAGAGACTGTGAATATTCTTTAGATGTAGATATGTCAAAAGAAAAAGGACTCAAACTACCCTCCTGTCAAGCAATCAAAAAATTCATTTTCCTCCATCAAAAAATTCTAGCAACCTGAAAATTATTTCAGTCAATCCACTTATATTTGAGAATAAAAATATAACTTCCATTGAAAGGTGTGGAAATACACCCCAGTCCTCATCCCACCCAACCTGCAAAAAAAACTTTCAAAAATGCTGTAGCAAGAACTTCAGATATTTTAACTAACCAGTATAAGCAAGTTACATACATTAATGCCATTTAAAACATGCAGGCGTAGAAATTATGGGAATCTCTTTATTATTTAGGAAACGTGCATCTGTGTTTCCATTTTTACTGCACTGCTTTTACAAGCCACTTCCGAATAGTGAGGTTCATTTTATTTCTCAGGATTTAAGAATACTCTTTTGGATCTGGTTCAAAATGTACTATGTTCATCTATGGTAGAGCCTTCACCTTGACTGGAGCCACCCAGCTATTCAAAGTATTATACCAGTAGGGCAACTGGCAAGTATTAATTGTGTTATATACTTAAAACTATATAAAAACACCACAAAAATGTACAGCAGCTCAGGGATCTCAACAATATGAACAAAAGCATTAACATTCATCATGGATCTATGTGCTCGGCTCCAGCAGAGGACCCTTACACATGCTTCCTTTTCCCATATATTTCACCTTTAATTACTTCCACCAAATATGCTTCTTATTGCACGGTATTTAAAAATTCCATTTATATGTGATGGTATATCCTGTGGGCCTCACATTCTCATCAACTTGTTGCTTTTCTGGACAAGGAACAGTTCCATACTCTAATTAACTGACCTATGGTTGATCTGTTTTTGCCAACTAGCCAGCAGTGGTAGCTGAAGAGTGACAGTATGCTGATGAAGAACATGGCTGCCACAAAGAAAAGGAATAATACGTGGAATTTTGCGTATTCATTCTGAGGAGAAAGAGAGAAAGAGATTAATACATTAACACTTTTTAACAACTGATGCAGTATTATCGATAAACATTTTCTGCCACACTGATTCTACTACAGGTCTTTCACTTCATTTTTCACAAAGAAAAGCACAAGCCCAGCTTTCCTTCCATGTCATGTTAAACTCGTGTGTAACAGCATTTAAAGCTGATGGGTACCCCTTCCATCTCAGTTTAGCAGCACGAGTACATATGTTCGTCTGTTTGACAGCACTGTGTATGATCAAGGCTTATTTTTTAAAATGCACAGTAAGGGGCAAGGAAAAAAAAATTCCTATACTAAAAATATTAACTGTGGAGCCACACCCAAGGAGACACAGGGAAAACATGCCCAAAATCACTTTATTTGAATGGAAGCACAAACCTCCAAACCCTTTTCTGGCAAGGTAATAATATGGAACCTACTTCTGAACCGGTGTAAGGAACGTAAAAAGGAAACGGCTGTCATACTGTGTTTCCAAGACTGAACAACTCCTAAACAAGACCTGGGACAGATCTTCAGTTTTTGATGACTTCTAAGGTTTATGCAACAACCAGTGTGTACCTAGCAAAACAAATTTGCAATGTCTGACCAGGCAGAAATGATTCCGCAGAATATCTACATGAAAAACAACCATTTCAGTACAACTACCATATAAAAAATAACTTCCCACCCATATTGATAGTTGACTCCACCCCTAACCCCAACTATTTTTAGGCTTGCACTTTCAAGAGGCCAATGGGATTTGTAACAATACCATTCCAGTTCCATATCCTCAAAATCACAGTATTTTTAAGTAGTTGACCTTTAACAGCACTATGAAAGCGAAGAGGCTATTTTTATTCAGCTGTTTAGTTAGCATTATTGCCATTACTTTTTCCATTAGCTTATTCAGTATACCCACTTTCTAAGGCTTATTTTTAGACTAAAACACATTTCAATTAAGATGAAGTGCACATAGGTATATCTATATCCCTGTACACTGCTTATACTCATAGACAACAGATTACAAGTCTCCCTCCTTCTGTGATGGCATAAATAGCTACCATGAATGACTGGATTAGAAAAATTATAGTAGGAACAGTATTTAAATAATTACAGCAATACTGGATTTTACCTTTGGACAATTCTCTGCAGCTTTCCTGCGGCAAAGCTTTGCGCAAACAAAGACAGTTTATTAAACACTAATATTATGTTAAGACAAAGTGTTTGAAAACAGCACAGGCTTTGTTAAGAAATGGTTGGTATGCACACGTGCTCTCAGATGTGCCGAGTTCCAACACCCATCAGCAGCCTTAGCCCCGGTTCTCCAAAAGAAAGGAGGAAAGAATATGTAAGAGCACACTACTAACTTCCAAGGCATGAAATTTTCTACCAAAGCATAGAAGTATTGCTATTCAGATTGTGGCTGGATCACTTTCAAGTGGTTCCTCAGCTTGAACAGCATGACTACATGTCCTGGGTTAAGATGAGACAGAGTTAACTTTCTTCATAATAGCAGCAAGAGGCTGTGTGTTGGATTTGTGCTCAGAAGAAAGCTGATAAAAAATTATGTTTATGAGGCTGCCAAGCTCTTTCAGCTTCTCTGGCTGTCTGCAAACAGGAGAAGCTGGGAGGGAGCACAGCCCCAGTTACTAGCCCAGGATTTGATCTTAGGTTCAGGATTGAGACCCAGAGTGGCCAATAATCTATTCCATAACATACACGTCATGCCCAGTGTATAGGTGAGGACCCTCTGGAAGATTGGCCCTTTTGATTCCGGATCTCTTTTGCTCCGGGTTGTCTCGCTCCAGGTGGTCGCTCTCCCAAGGCCTTCCCCCCTCCCCACCCCGGTCAGTTCTCTGTCTGGGATGCTCGGACTGTTATCTCCGTTCCGTGAGTGCGGTTTCGGGACTCTCCCTGCTCCGAGATTGTTAGCCGGGAACAGGATGAGCCTTGGTCATCTGGTGAGAGGGCAGTAATCACTGTGTATCACTCATTTCTATATTTGTATATACTAGTATTTTCAATATTATTGTAGTTTAGTTATTAAATTGTTCTTATCTCAACCCACGAGTCCTTTCTTCCCTTTACCCCTTTGATTCTCTCTCCTATCCTCAGGTGGGGGGGGGGGGTTGCATGAGTGGGTGGGTGGTTTGGCCCCCAGCCAAGGGCTAACCCATCACACTACACCAGGTACATTCTTTGCTAGTTGTTTCCATCACAAGTAAGGTTTATGTGAATTTTCTGTATGATAAAACCATTCATAAAGGGCTGAAAAGTTCAGAATACTCCAGAGGTATAAGGCAATGTTTTATAAATTACAAAATATTTCTGACTTCAGAACATATCTATTACCACTAGATGGAGTTTCAGCCAAAACCATAAAAAAATAAATTGCCAATCTCTGCACAATTTTTTAAAGCAAAGAACCCATACACATCAGTACAGTTTCTTCTTCCCAAATCCTTCAATATTCAGATTTGTTTGTGCAATCTATCTTTAGCATAACATCTGATATTGAACCAGTACTTAAGGAAGGAAATAAAGAAACAAGAAAGCTTAGTTTAAATTAGCTTTTAAACTCTGAACTTTATACCTAAAAAGTGGTAGTGGCTGCCTTAGCTAAGACGCTAGCACTTAACAAATCTATTTTAGGCAAGATGTATGGCTCTTAAATTACATTAATCTGTGCAGAAAGCCTAGGGAAAGCCCAAACTTCTACCTTGGAGTTGGGCAGATATATACAGCATTTTCAAAAATGCTGGCTACAATCAGATCATGCTACAGTAAGCAAAGGATAGCAGGATCCAGCTCTCTGAACTGCTGTTTAAGTTCAGTTTCCTTATTTACTGCAGGGTCTCTTCATGCAGTTTTGCTTAGACAGTTTGTGCAACAGTCCCTCTCCCCGCTGCTCGAGGGATATGTTGTGTTTTGTGATCCCTTGAAATCACAGCTAGCAAAATACATACTCACATTGCTGCTTATTCCAAAGCTTAATGTTAAAGCTATGATGACTTTTCCTACCTCAAAGCACACTGCAGTGTTTCCCAGTTAATTTTTATAACTATTTTTATGACTCTTTTGGAATTACATATTTAAACAGAATAGTTCTCTATAAAGAATTCTCAGGCCAGTTAATTTTGAAGCTCAAAGAGAGAGCAGCAGTAGCAGTTTAGTCTTTGTGTTTTCTGTGGGCCAGAAAATATAAGTTTATTTCAGTTGCATCGTCCTAAAACTGTAGCCCTATGACCTGGAGAAGGATTTTTTGAATTATGCATGATTAATATGCATGATCCCCAGGGAGTGTTTACCTCTTCTGACTACCCAGTTTCAGCCACTGGTTTTAAGTTCTTGAATGACAGTTGCAGAACTGAAGCATCTTTCAGAAAAGGCCAGTTCCTTCCTGGGGAGAAGCATGCAGGCTTTGAGTGTGTATAACAGGCTTATTCACAGTTGTCTTCTAGCAGCAGTCCACATGCCACAGCACGTGAAGAGAGAGTAAAACTTCAGACAGTAGTTATTTAAAATCATTATGTGCAGTAGCAGCACAGAAGCAGAGACTTGCAGGTGAGAGAGCTTACAAAGCGAAGCAATTTGCACAATAAAATCTGGGCTACTTAGCATATGTAATAGACTGAAGCCAGTCACTATTCTAAAGAGTCCTCTACAAACTCCCTTCACAAGTGGAGACGTTAGAGCATATATCAGGCCACAAACCCCCCCCAAAAACTCACAACAAAAAACTGCTGTCAGAGCTTGACTCATTACTCATCTTTTAGTACCTAGGTCTAACTTAAATCTAGAAAAGATTTGGTACATGTCCTTATGTGTATAAGCAAGAGTACTGAGTTCTAACCAAGAATCTGGAATTGCTCTTTTTTTTTTGTTTGTTTGGTTTTTTTGTTTTTTGTTAATACAGACAGACTTTTGCAGGAGCACGGGCCATCTATCTGGAACACATATCACCTCCTTGAATTAGCTATACTTAGGATTGCCAAAATAATTTGGAGGACAATGAAAGACGCTGAAAACAGCTGGAAAAGATACAGGTTTCAAGGGGCAGGGAGTGCAGCAAAAATGAGAGTGGATACAAAATACACTGGGAAGTACCACCATGTACTATGTAACAAGGCATTAAGGACTGGGCGTTCAGCCAGTACTGGTGTTTGTATCAAATACGTTTCATTAAACTGAGGATTTATCTGCTCATCTTTCTTCAGCACTTCTGCATAGAGCATGAAAGATGCTAGGCTGAAGTTTTGCACATCCAACTGGGAAACACAGACTTTCTTCAGCAGAAGAGGCAGGCAGGTGTGCACAAGTATCCAAGTATCTGCATTTGACTCGTGTCTCTATGCAAGCATTATCAACAGTGCAAAACAATGCATTGCAAAGATATGTGTAGTTAGCACATACACCTTCACAACTGTTGAACAACTACAAGTTCTGAAGTGACCAAGGCTGCATTTCCCAAGTAGCAGCTCATCTTTCATCCTAACACTGGATATATACAGCAACTTGTATGCTTTCTCTGTAAAACATGAGGAAGCAAAAAAGAAACACTACCTTCTGAAGGTACTCTATAACATTTCTGATAGTCAAGCCTTTTGGGGGAAAAAACAAGATGTGGAGAGCCTCAACAGAAAACATCAGAATAGTAAACTGTCTGATGTTGAAGCAGACAAAGCTGAGCATTAGCAATATACAGACAGCACGTGTCAGCAGTACTCCACTCTGATCTGGATACTGATGTAGAGAGAAGCTTCCAGGACTCTATTCTGCAGTCAATAGCACTTGCAAAATTTAGTACGTCTCTAGTATGTAAGCTTTCAGGCAAGCCTACACGATTACGGTGCTGCCACCTCCTTCTGGAAGTCTACTTTAGTCAGGCTATTAAAAGATCAGAGGAGTATTATTAGCTTTGTGGAATGAGTGACTTAATATGAGTAGAAGTGAGTCAGAGACCTACTCTAATGATAAGATCACGGCATCAGCAGATTCTCTCTTGGAAGTAACCGGAAACGAAAGCAACAAGTGCAGGCACACAACGACATTGTCTATTGTCACATTTTAGGAGTAGCTCATTCTTGCAGGAAGCATTTTAAACAACTAAATCATTAAAAAAAAAAAATCCCTCTTAAGTTTACTTTCTCTGCTCAAGGGTCCACTTCAATATTGTGTCCGATGGGCTTCATAAGAGGCTTGCTGCAAATGCTGGTATTAAATGTTCATTGTGGTCAGATGTCCTGTGGAGTTTCGTTGCACTAACACTTCTGAAGTGACGTGACAAAGCAAATTCATTTTCTTTGCTCAATCACTGACTGCTAAATATGTAAGAGCACATCTACAGTTTAACTAGAAATTGCATACAGAGCACCGGAAAGCAGCCAGGCAGATGTCTGGGAGTGGCACATTCACAAATTAAAAATTTAACTATTTACAGTCAAGCAAGACTGAACAGCAGAATCACATAATTTCATTTGAAATATCTGTGAAGCCACAGATACAACTGATAAATACATTTATGGCCTTCATCTCACACAATAGTGACAGCTCAATTCCCATAGAGTTCCTTGCACTCCAGTGACAGGCTGCTATACAGAACTGAAAGACTAAGAGAAACAGTACTTTGAAGATCAGACCCATAGGCTTAGATGAATGCAAACAAACATACTTTTTGCACCATTTATCTTACTCATCTAATGCCAACTGTCTCAAAGAACAGCTATTATGAATACACAATCAAGTTTCTCTTACCCTGACATGCCAACATCTTTTTGCTCCAATAAAAATTATTTCTACAGCTACACATAATGACTGCTTTTCCCAGCTTATCTGACAGCAACTAGCATCTAAGGAGTATATGCTGTTATCTACTTACAAAGATCTGATGGAGAGCCTTCCACTTACAGTGATTTTCCCATGCTAGTTAATGGAAAATGATTAAGAGAATTCTGATGCTTACTCTTCTGTCTAGAGACAGGAAGGCACAGTGCAAGGTGTTGGAGATGAAAGGGAACACCACCAGAAGACACTGCTCAGCCTGGAATGTGACTGGAACAAAACTGACAGGAGGAATATAACACTGACGTACAAGGATACTTGCCCTTCACCTAAATTTTATTAAATCTAGTAAGATGCATGTATGTGTATCAATCATTTGACAACTGATAACAGTTGCAAGGAAGATGTATATCATTAACACTGTACATATCTTAGCGTTCTACCCATATCAGAGCAATAAAAGCCGCTACTATGAAGTTCAGATGCGCCAGTCTAGGGACTCCAAAACAGAGCTCGGTCAGTTCCCAAGAAAATAATCTGCCTTACCTGGTAGCAGATAAACAAGTCTAGGAAGATGCAAAATTGTTATTTGTATTTCACATTTGTCAGTATTTTTATATATACGTGTGTATATATACATACATATATATGTAATTGTTTGATATAAGCCAGTTCTTTCTATATCTACATATCTCTATCCAATAGTCTCAAGAAAACCTGAGATGTGCCACTTGATTTTGATGGAGCAGAGAAATTGCAGTGTCCTCACTGGAACATCTTCCCCCAATTACTCATCCTGGGCAGTGTAATACATTTAATTTATTAATATTCATAAGGTTCTCCTGCTTCAGTCACTTTGATTGATGCTGTTAATGGTAATGAACTATGGAACAGAGTAAATGGTGAGTTACAACATGCTGATGCAGCCTCCAGTAACACATGCAAGATTAAACAAACAACAACAACAAAAAAAGCCTTAGAACTTACTGTCCAAAACTTTATGAAGTACTGCAAGACTGTAGCAGCAACAAACAGACAGTACAATAACGAATACATTAAAAACAGGAGGAAGAATTTGTAGTTAGAAAATCCCACACAATTATTCACCCTAGAAGGAGGGGAAAGAGAAAGAAGTTACTATGATGTACAACAAATAAAATAAAAGCCAATACATTTAGCTTTTGCAGAGCATACTGTGTATGATATCAGTGGTATGTCCAAAACAGTGTCACTAGTGTTTCAGAAGCATTTAGAGCCACCACTTAGAATGAAGAATCTTTCCTCATGCCAAGTGATCCAGACCCCTCGCGTAAGTTTTGCTCCCCATGAAGTTCTACAAGACAGAACATGAGCTGGCAAAGCGTATGATAAATACAGTCTGTATAGAACACGTCTTGCACACTATGAACTAACTGCAGTTATCATGTGAGCCTCTCCACCAATTTCAGTGGATGTCGCTTTGATTACAAAACCACCTCCAAGTCAACTACTGATAGCAGTATTTTTATAGTGGCTTTGAGCAACCTGGTCTAGTGGGGGGTGCCCCTGCCCATGGCAGGGGGGGTGGAACTCAATGATCTCTGAGGTGCTTTCCAACCCAAACCATTCTGTGATTCTATGAATACAAGCAGCAGAAGAGTAACTGTCTGAGTGGGTCTTACCCACTACACTGTGAAAATCAGTTCTCAATTCTAGATGATACATATCTCCTCTCCTGGTAACAATACCAAACTAAGAAAAATAAATAAATGCCATTTTGCATAGGTCTTGTTAATGCCAGGCTTTCTCTGTATAAGGAAAAACTTAATGATTTGGGCTACTGGACCTACAACTAACTCTACATTGCAACACACATTAGGAGCAAGATTTATTTTCACATACTAAAGCCTCAAGAAGTTATGTGAAAATCAGATTTTACTTCGAAGTTGCATCCAATTAACCAGGTAGATCTAATTCACCATTATTATACTGATTTTTTTTTCTTTTTACTTTTTATTTTTTTTTTAAATAAACTTACCATGGACAGTGGTGGTCCATTTTTAGTACACATCTGAAACAGATAATTTTCATTAAGTTAGAAACAATTTTTTTTTTTCTTTAACACACATACTTTTAGCTTCTACAGTTTTGGGGTTAGGGTTTTTTTGTTTGTTTGTTTTTAAAGTATTTTGCCACACTGTATCTTTTTCAAGTCCTTCTCAATCATGCCAATTCTCCGTATCACAGCAGCCATCCTTTCACCCAAAAAGGATCAAGTGAGATTCACAGAATTATGAAAAAGAGTCTCTTAACATGAGGAGCATTACTGGGCAACACCACGTTCATTAAGCCACACTAGTTTTATGTGTGCATTGAGAGAAAAAACATTCCAAAGGACCCTTCAGAGTTGTGTGGATAGGGTATGTTAGCATGGCATTCACTTCAACTAAGAGTACCTTAGAGCTATTTTTGCTACCTTTTTTTTGTTTGCTGCTTGCTTGTTAGTTTTTTAAAGCTAATTGAGGTAGAGAGTGGCACAGTGGGTAATTGGAATAGTCCACTTCCTATTTGCATCCAGTTTCAGTATAAGGACAGATAGTAGACATTTCAGACACACAGACATTCACTATATTTGCTTATAAATTTGATTTTAGCCAAAAGATGTGTATTAGGTTCTTCAGTTAACTAGATTTCCTTAAGCTCTTCCTACTGATGTCTCACTCATAGCCTCAGTCTTCAGTGCCCTTACAGACTTCTCTAATGATTCAGAATGAGGCTAAGAAATAGCAGTAATGTCTTTGAAATGGTTAAGGCATGTAAATCCACTGTCAATCTTTGAAATAAAGATTTTTATCATTATTAGTAGCATACATCTGCTTCAAGGCAATAAGTATTTGCTGGTGCTGGTATTTCAGACCTGACTTTTTTTACTTTCAATCGCTGATTTTTTTTTTTTTTTTTTTAAATATAAACACTGTTTTGCAAAGCTACAAGCAGGTTTCTAAAAAAATTCTGCCGCTTTTGATAAGGAGGCTGCAATAATAATACTGCACCAACAGGAGGAACTTTGCTGTTTCATGAAATCCAGGTACTGAGAGTCTAAGCAAGGGCTGACACACTAAAGATGTGAACACACTAAAGTAATCATCACAGGAGAAAGCAATTCCATCATTCCAGATTCAGCAACTTACATGTCACATGCAGAACAGTGGTGGCAGCGGTCAGGTTTGATTAGCTGGCATCGATCACAGTATCTGATTGCTGCATTCAAGTGGCAACGGTCAAGTCATTAGAATTCATTTAATTTTACAAATATTTCCCCCCTTAACATAAACTGAATCTTAAAGAGCTTCCTGCCCTCCCCTGCCACACCTGTTCTCACAGACCTTCATGTGCCTACTTTCGTATGATATGTACTTTTGATTTTTTTTTTTAAGAAATGTAACATATGAAAGTATTTAAAACACTTTCATCTATTACTACTACACTGAGCCCATTTCCATTTTTTCTCTGGCTCCCCATCCTTCATCCTTTGGCACTCTGATCCCCTATCACTTGCTTTCTTTCACCTCTGGACAGGGTACTCAAGCATCCCATTGT